ACACCAAAGTGACGGTGACAAATGAGGGTTCTCCGTGGGAGGAGGCCAACTAATTCTAGGGAAGCTTTGCTCTGTAACCAAACACATCCTGTTTTCACCTAGAAATGGTCCCTTGGTCATTCCAAGGAGGGAAGTGAGAAATTCTACATGTGTATCTCAACTGCTATATCAGAGAAGGAGGGGAATGGATTTCATAGTTGCTTAAGGAGAGAATTTTCCCCAATTTTGCCAATAAAAGAAAACATCTCGATTGAAATTCTTCCTTTCCTCCCAGCTAGAGTAAACTAGCCGAAAAGGAAGCCCAGCTCTGTGCTGGATCTTGCTGTGCATGTCCTGCCTCCTCCCCTCATTCCCTTAGGAGCTGTGCTCCACGTTGTAGATAAACGCATGGAACCCTCACTCCCTCCAGGGCACTGCCAACTCAGAAAAGCACACTGGGCTCTCACTGGGCCCTGTGTCAAAGGAATTCCAATCCCAGTTTTACTCTAACATAAACTCATGATGCCTAGAATTTTGAGTCTTCTGTGTCACAGGAGAACAAGACTCTTCCTTGTGCCCAATTCTGACATTGCTAAAGGAAAAACTGGTTGGCTGAGTTTGAGACATATAATTTATGTGAAGGGGCCTTTGCATTTATATAGAAAGACCCTGCACTTTTATTAAGCTGGTTTTGCACAGCTACTAAAGGAGTGATGGCTTTTAATATCTCTTCTGAAATGGCTTGATAGAATTTAGGGTAGAATTATTCTTCTAAGCTTGGAATAATGTTCTTTTGTCTCTAATAGTCAGCTCTTGGAGAATTAGATTATGGCAGTTCTGTAGGCTGAGGACCCTTGGTCTGGGTGTCAGGTAATCACTAACAATGATGTGTACTCAGAAACAGTCGTTGGATGAGCAGGCTGACACTTGACCTGCTAAAGACTAGTTTGATACAAAATGTTAACTGAAGTTACAATATATTTTATAATATAGCAATATATTTCATATTTAAAATAAACTGTTATGCTTTCTCCTATCATTAAAAAATAGCAAGCAGTACAGAGGCAAGATGCAAATTCATATTGAAGCTCATCTGATTATGAATATAAACACTTCAGTTTCTGAGTTTGCCATGAAAATGTTTCCTCCATGAACATCCTGTCCCTCTCTTTTGTTGTTCTCTTCTGGTCAGTGCAGAATAGAGAGTCTGGGACCAAAATTGAGTTGTTGCGCCATTAAAAAATATGTCTGATGAAGGTGGATTCGTCCCGGTTGAGATTCGAGAGAATGTTGTTTATTCCCTGTCCTTCTTCTGTGAACCTGGACGTTGGCCATTCCAATCAGATTCATATTTGACTTGTCACTGATTTTTTTTTTGGCTATAAATTCAGCATCTCTTTGGGATCCTAACTACAGGTTGGTGTTGAATTTTGTGCTTTTCCTCCACCAGCTTGGTTGGTCACAACGTCTCTCTTGTTTCTTTCAACCCGTGGTCCAGGCCCAAGATTACAGCTTCCAGAATGCGTTTCTCAGGTGTGTAAACAACTGTCACAGGGCACTTGGCACCTAGGTTTGGAGGTCATACGTTGAAGATTTGATAATGGTTTTGTTCAGAGGGAACTCCAGTACATGTTGGGGCGTTTCCAGTAATGGTGTAAGAAAAAAAGATCACAGTTATTTTTTTCTCTATCTGTATATATTTATATACCATTGCGCTGAGTACTTTTTAATAAGCTTCGGTCTATTTCAGTAAAAATCTACATATTACTTGTCTGACAGGAGTGTAATGCTAGTTTCTATTTATGCAGCCTGGCACAAGCTTTCAGGGTGAAGAACACTCTCCTATATTCCACTACCAGAGGCAGACAATTAATACTGCTATCCCTGTAACACTCCTTCTTAGTGGTATCACTGATCCCATTCCCATGATGTTTACTCTGGTGGCAGTAGAGAAGGGATACTGCCCAGGGCCTCATCAAACCGCCTGACTGCAGGAGGAGGGAAGGGGCTCTTCCGTGTCTACCAGGAAACCATCAGATAGCTGTCTAAGGTACTGAAACCAAACACTGCAGAGTCAATAGGGACAGCAAAATGACCACTAACAATCCTTAATCTGCTTCTAAGTAACTTCTACGGAAGTAGAATGACTGTTTAGAAGTGGTGACACATTTTAGGATTTAAAAGCAGTAACTTAAAAAGAGTAGTAACCTACTGGTAGTGCAATGACTTCATTGTGTCTCAGTTGTGGTACTGGGATGGTAGTCACGCCATTTGTTCTGGGATGAAACACTGATTCTTAATTTCGGGTGCACTGTTTGTTGAGGTACAGTCTGAAGGAGGAGAGAGGTCCTGGAACTATGTCCTAATCCCATATTTCTCCCTGCTAATTTCGCTACCTAGTTGATATGTAATAATTACTTTTTGGTACTATCTACTGTGTTCAGATACAACATCAAAGTGTGGACTAGATAGCGTCAGTCTGGGCTGCTGTTGATGACAATAGTGATTCCATTTTTGTATCTATTGAATACTTTGTACTTAAGAATATTAACTATTATCTTCACTTTAAGTACAGAGAAGTTGAGGTATGAGGTGGTTAGATTCACTGGCCAAAGTTGTGGAGCCAGTATTAGAGTTTTATTTATTCTGATTCTGTATCTCTAGTTTTCTTCTTTTCCATAATTATTTATTACAAGGAAATTACTGAAAATCTAAAGAGGAAATCCTCAAATATATTAAAATCATTATTTCTTCAATACCGTTCCTCCTTGGCCTTTAATAAATAACAATAGCTTGAGCTTCCTCAGCACTTTAGAATTTACTGGCACATATATTTTCCAGACCTCCTCATTTACGAGATTGTTACCACTGGTACTTGCTGAGGTCAGAAGTTAGTGGTGACTCAGGGCCTTACCCCTCTCATTCTTTTGGATTGTATTAAGCATTTCTAGAGATGTCATGAGGTTACATATTATGAGGATGGCAAGAACAGTTCATAGACACTGTATGACAATTTATTGATGATGATTACACATATGAGGCCTTTGATCCAAAGGTGCAGATTTTTATTTGGACTTCAATCTAAGGAGGAATGAGCCCCTAGTCTGGTATAATTTACCAACTGATGCTATGTCCTGAAATTCCACTGAGGTTAGTGGTCTTAAAGTATCACAGTACATCCCTGACTTTACAGTACATGACGCTAAAATATGGCTTAAGTGATGAGGGGGTGGCTCGTATTTTTAATTTAAGTGTCTAGATCTTTTAGGGAATATTAGAATACTTTGTCCTGTCACTGGGTTATCAGAGGGTTATAGTAAGGGCTCTGCCACTGGGTCAGCCTTCCAGGACTGGGCAGAACTCAATCAGTTCAGTATTGGAGTGAGTTTACCATAATTAATAGTTTTTACATATAGCCAATTCTTGAGTAGATAATTAAAGCTCCTCCACCACCAAACTTGAAAATAAGGAACAAGAAGGCAGGGCATGAGAATCCACCTGGCCCTTTTTCCCATCTGACTGTGATATTGGGGCGAATTAGAATTAGCCAAAAGATGGGCTATAGGAAGAAAAGCTGGGTGAGCTACAACCTGGATAATCAATATCTAAGTCATCAAGGGTTGATTGTACTTGCAAGAGAGTGGGTAACTTCCCCACATAAAGCTGAAATACTAGTACAGAGAAGCAGCTTCCCATTTATCATTGTAGGATCAACATGCAGATTCAATCACTTTTTTTTTTTTCTGAAGAGTAAGTATTCTTTTGCCAAGGATAAAAACCATAGATAGCTATTGCACTACCAATGGGTCAAGTCATGCTGCAGATGCTCACTTGTTTCTAGGATGCCAGTGGCTACTGCTGCTGGAAATAACTCCATCACTCCCTTCACTAGTGTTGCTAGCTTGGTCTTCAGGGTTTACCTAAGTGTACAGCATTAATGATGGGTTAAAGAAGAATTATCCACAGACTATGATGGATCAATGGCAGTCTGTGAGCACTTTTGGGCAGGAGGAGTGGCAGTGGAATCTTGGATGTCATTTATTTGAAATTAAGATTAAATCCCTATATGTGTGCATGTGCACACACACACACATCACAGGGTTACAGCAGAACGGAAAAGGTGAATAGGAATTAATAGTTGAGGGCTATAGGTTAAAATATTGGCACACTCAGGTCAATCTGTCAATGGTCTTCACTTTGTGAAATGGAACTAATGCCAGAAGGAAACTGCATGGTTATTTCATCCGTTTATATGTTTGGCTGAACTGTCACTGAAAACAGGAGCACCATTCTTGGGACATAAAAAAGGAGGGGAAACCCTCAGGTCATCCATAGTTAAAAGAACAAGTGAAAAAATAAAAAGCCAACAGCAAGTGTGGCATTTATGGTATGTGGAACAACCAGTGAAAGGGTTCCAAGGAGTTATCAGGATAAACAGGAGGCCATTAAAGGAAAAACAGCAATAAAAAGAGATAAAAGAAGTTTAGCAAGAGACTAGATCTTCTTGAAAGAGTGGCCTTAGTTCTAGGGTTGTATTCCTTTTGCTGTCCAGTGATTCCCTTGTCCTTAGAAGACCAGGCCCAGTGCCGCAGAAGAAAAATCTCCACAGCTAGACACTGCCTTCAGAATGGTGATGATGTCCTGCACAGAATGAAACCCAACAGGACAACCATATGCAAATGACAGCCTTGTGTTTTTACCCTGAACAGATGAAATATTCCACACAGTATCATTTAACTCCCCACAAGTAGACGTCAAAGACCTCAGAATGAGGGGCCGGCCCGGTGGCGCAAGCGGTTAAGTGCACGCACTCCGCTGCGGCGGCCTGGGGTTCGCCAGTTCGGATCCTGGGCCGCGCACCGACACACTGCTTGTCAGGCCATGCTGTGGCGGCGTCCCATATAAAGTAGAGGAAGATGGGCACGGATGTTAGCCCAGGGCCAGTCTTCCTCAGCAAAAAGAGGAGGGTTGGCAGATGGTTAGCTCAGGGCTGATCTTCCTCACAAAAAAAAAAAAAAGACCTCAGAATGAGAAAAGTGATGAAGAGCTTGATGGCTTTCACATCACAGATGTTGCACGTGGTTAGATTATGGAGCAATGAAAAACGTTTGCATCCACATGCCCTCTCCTCACAATGCCTGTCACTGCACTGGATCTTGATGTTTCTGAAGTCTCCTGGCATTTGTGATATATTAGAATAGTTTTTGCACCAAGGTTAACATGGCACAGTAGGAACAGGCTACTGAGGAAGCCACATCATCTTACCTTACCCACAAGGTTCCCTAAGGGCTCCCTTTATTCTCATAAGCTTTCATTTCGAGACAGTTTCAGATCAGGTAGAAGGGACCACACAGGCCACTCACCATCACTTCTCCTCCCAGTTCAGCAGCCCTCAGGGGAGGCACTTGACCCCTTTGCACTTCTAACTTCTGGAGCTGGAAACCTATTGCTGGATAAATATAGCTGAGCAAACCCCAGACAATATTTCTATTCACTCAGGTGTCACTGGGTTGCACCTGTTTGTGCATGTGTGTGCACACACGCAGAGATCCCGTCCCCCTTCTCTCATATACATATACCTGGTCATGTGCTCATGGAACACAGCTTGTTTGGATATAAGAAGAAAACTCTGCAGAAGCTGTTATTTCTAGAAGACTGCTTATCCCTCCAGAATGCCAACAATTTTAGCTTGGCATTCATCTCAAACCAAGCATGGTGCATAGCCAGGGCGAAGCAACCTGGATTGTGTTTGAAGGAACCTGCATCTTCGTGAAGCTCAGGATGTGGCCGACGCTAGCAACTACCTGACCTGGAAGCACCCACATTTGGATTCTCACCAACTCAACACACTTTTAGAGTGCCTACTGTGTGCAGGGGAAGGTACCAGGTCCCTTTCTATTAAGTCAAGTTAAAACAAGAAAAGACCTGGGTGGAATGTGGGATGTGTGTGTGTGTGTGTGTGTGTGCACATGCTTGCAAACACACAGGTTTATATGGGTATTAATATTGGATGGAAAATCTGGCTTTTTAGTTGTCTGTCTCTTTTTTTCAGTCTAAATTGAGTTTTATGACTGTATAATACATAGGAGGAAAGAATGTCTGTTTTGGCACGTTGAGGGCAACTCTCTTTTACTTTTATCATCCAGAAGCTTCCTTAGAGAAAACGAAAGGAGAGAGGTGTGCTCGAGGACCCCAGCAGTGAGGAACCCATTCCCCAAGCCTGACATGACCCCCTCCCCCAGCGGGACCCTCTTCCAGGCTGGCTTCACTGTTGGCTACTTCAGTGCATCTGACCCCCCACCCCCCCACGTGAAGACCTGAGATTGAGCGTGGATTTCTGTTCTCCACCAACTCTGCAGCAAGGGCCCTGCCAGAGGCGTCGCTTCCTGTCATCTCCTCTTCCTGCTCCCAAGTAGAGGCACCTAAACAGAGATTAGATTTCTGGTTTCAAGGCATAGCAAACCAAGCACGCCGAATGAACATGAGTTAGTTAATTAGCTCTGTCTCTCTTCTTTACGTTCCCTGGTCTGATTGTTCCTTGATGGCAAATGACCAGGAGAGAGTTGATTTGCATCTTAAGACCTACGGGTAATGCTTCTGGAGTGGGGAGTTTTATTTAGCAACTGCTTGAACTTGTGTATGGGGTCGGGAAGGAGGTGGAGCTGACCCCGATTGGGCTGTCGGAGAGTGGGGTGTGGGTGGTGCCCACTGCCACGCTGACGCCCCGGGCCTCGATGACGGCGGACAGGAGCTGCTGCTGCTGCTGGCGCAGGGTGTCCGCGATGAGCAGGGGCAGGGAATTGAAGCTGGCGGTGAGATGCTCCAGCTTAGCCTCCAGGCTGCCAATTTGCTTCTCCAGGTCTTCACTCCGATCATTGAGTTCTGTGATTAAGTCATACATGACATTCTGCATCTATATGGAGAGACAGAGAGACAAGAGACGGGGAGAGGAGGGGTCATCATAGAGGAACCTATAGTGGGAAAAATGAAATACTCCTCCAAATGACGGTAGGAGAAACTTCCACACCAGCCATGTCTGATCTGGCCAAGGAAGGAGAAGGTTTACTTTCCTGGAGACAGGGAGGCTCAAGTGGGCACTTTGTTTTTCTTATTACAAAAGTAATGCATATTAATTATAAAAATATAGATAATTAGATAATATGTATAACGGAAAAGAGGCAGCACTTTTTTCTTAAGTGGAGTGAGTCTCTAAACGGTCATGTTCTTACTACACCCAACATCTCAGCTCATATGGCTGCTGGCCCTTATGATTAAAGGCACCCATTTTCAACACAGCAGCCAGAACGTATGACAGAAAACATAACTCACTCCTCAGGCATGGGCAGCAGCCAAACGGGGCTGCCTCGCCGAGGTTATGGCTTCTCTCCTGTCTGGTCGGTGAGGAGGTACATTGCCTCCATTTGGGACATCCGTGAAGGGCCATTCCACCTCCAGAGCACCCAGGGTCGGCTGAGGTGTTTGTCAGTTGTATCACAGTTCAAGCCCTCCCTCTGCCCCTTCCGCTTCCCTCACTCCCTGACAAGTGTTGTTCTGAGGGTGCCCCCTGCGCTCAGTGCTGTCTCCCAGTGTCCCAGGGACCTGCTCGATCACCAGTGCTCCCCCACACATCCCATGGCCTACAGCCTCGCCTCTTCTAAGCTTCCCTTTAAAAATCACCTTCTCCATGAAGCGTCCCCCCCATGCCCTGCTTAATGCCGCACCTTGTCCCCACCCCACCCCCGATCCCGCTAACCCTGCTCAATTTTTTTTTTCCACCTTCTAATACACTAGCTAATTTGCTATTTCTTCTGTTTATTGTTGTTGTCTGTTGTCTCCCACTAGAAAGAAAGCACCATTGCCTGCAGTGTCCACTGATGTGTCCCAAGGGCACATAGGAAATGCTCAAGTAACATTTTTTGATGAACAAATATACATAAATGTGCCTAGCAAGGGGGAGCTGTGCATATAATTGGCACTAAAAGATGTTGGTAGAGCAAATGAAGGAATAAAGTGTTGGCGCAGGTAAAAATCACTGTCTCTTCCATCCTTTGGCCGAGGTAGGAGTTTTACTGAAGGGGAAAGACCTTTTGTGCCACAAATTATTTCCACATACCTAGGAGATTTCTCAGGGTTTACCACCAAGACCTGAGTGGCTGAAGGAAAGGAAAGAAGACTCCCAACGGGGCTCAGCCCAGGCCCTGCCTCTGTGGAGCAGGTCCTCACTAAGCTTTTGTGAATGAACATGAAGGAGGTCGTGAGAGTGAAAATGGGGTGACTCCAGGGAACTGCAAATAAAGTGAAACTTAAAAGTAATCAAATAAACTTGCCTTCTGAGAGTTAAGTCATAAAACCAGGTCAGAGTGGGGCCAAACAAAGGGAGTTCATGCCAACTGCACCATCTTCTGTCCTAAATCCGTTCTTTGCCAGTGCTCCCTGTCTCCACGAGAGGCACTGCCATTCACTCAAGTCGTCCCAACCAGAAACCTGGGTGTCATCCTCTCCCTCATCCCTCACATCTCACTAGTACAAAGTCCTACCCACCCTACCTATAAATATCCCTCCAATTCAATTCGTTTAATTGCAGCTAAACCACTCCAGTTCCAACCAGTACCGTCCAGCAGGCTGCGATGCACTCAATATGGTTACGTCCCATGGTTCTGATGCCACTCTTCTCAGCCAACTTTCTGATTATAATTTGGCTTCCCAGGTTGGTCTATAGAGCCCTCGTCTCTGTGACAACCACATTTCTCCCCACAAATTAACAAATGATGTCAGACTTGGGAGTCCTCCTGCTCCTAGTGTCCAGGAGCAAGGCTCCTGTGGCTGCAACGGCAGAGGGCCAGGTTGGCATTTGCTTCGTCCCCACCTCCCCACCCCCACCAGTACTGTGGCTCTTGGGGCTTCTGGTTATCTGCCAGCGACACCCTGATCCTATTTCACCTGACATTTCAAGTTACTCCAGGAAGATGCAGAAACCACTGGTGCCCTGTGGGGCCAAGGGAGTAGGAAATAAGGTGAGAGAGGAAAAGAGAAGGAAGGTGGTAAAATATGAGATGCCAGACAGGAGATGGGGGAGGGGGACTGAAAACGTCACCTTCCTAGCTGACGACACGCCCCACAGGAAAATCAGCTGAGACCCCAAAAGGAGCTTTCACAGAGGTAAAAGGAAGGCGGTTCTGCCGTTGTGAGAACAGGACCCTGTATTAGGGACGCCCTTGGAGGAGAGGGTGACTTTGGAAGTGAAGTGCTTCCTTCATTAATTAACATTCACAGAACCTCCTCAAGGCGCACATTCTTCCCGGAATGCACAAAACCACAAATTTATTTGATGGCAGGGGCACCCCGATGAGCTCTGGACTGAGTCCGGGCCCCTGGGTCTTGGCCCCAGCACTGCGCTCGCCAACTGCCTGACCTTGGGACGGTCACTTTGTTCCTTCGGGTCTTGGTTTCCTCATCTATTTTCATAATCGGAACTACCATTTGCAAAACCTTTAGCGTTTACAAAGCATTTTCACAGATATTATCTTATTTGATCACTGGAGCTTCAGATGTTAGGAATTACTTTTACATTTCAATTGAAGAAATTGAAGCTAGCAAATAGAGTCCAAGCCCTCCCAGGTCTGCCATCCTACAAGATAGCAGTTCAATACAGAAAATAATATTTGGGGGCCACAAGACAGTGTCTTAATCTAGAGAGGACCAAAGGGCAGGGGTGGGCAGGTGGTGAGTGGGGAGGATGAAGCACAGAAAGAAAAGGCAAAGAACACAGCATTACTGTCTTTCCTGTTCCGTTCCTTGGTGACACGATGCCAGGGGGAATGTGGACCAATGTGAAATATGCTAAGCTGCTCCCAGGACCTTGGGTGAGTCTCCTGGGAGGAAAAGACAAAGGCTGAATGGATGTCAGAGTTCACCTTCTCTCCAGGTCTCACCATGCCCCTTTGCAGCCCTGTGGATGTCCTCTCTTAACCCTCTCCTCTACGCCCTTTCTTTCCAGGGAACCCGCTCCCAGATTATTGATGGTTTAGTTCCTCTACCCAAGTCACATGAGTCTCTTTCCAATTCACTGAGGTTTTAGCTTCGCCCAGTCTGCTCTGTGCTGAGCCTCGTCTCTGCCAGGTCAGAGGTGAGGCAGGAAACACTGGTAGTTGTAGAAGAAACATCTTGGGGTATCTCCTTGGGCCATTCCTGCATCTCACAGGGTGGGTCCCCAGTCATGTGTGCCCCACGTGACCCTGTTCCTGGCCACAGCTGTTCGGTCCAAGGGTGGACACATGACCCTGACTGGCCAATCATCTCATCTCTTCTGAAAATTTAGAATTAAGACCACTAGGAGGCCAACTCGTCTTTGTCTGTGGCTGGAACTAGAACACATACTCGCTGGAGAGGGGCCTGCCATGGAGACAGGAGGCATAGAAAACTGTCAGGGAAGAGGGGAGAGAGAGAAAGAATTGAAGAGGCACTGGAACAGGAGAGGAGAAGGTGAAAAAACAGTTCCCAAGTGTGAGGGCTTCCCAGGTCTGGTTCTAGTTAGTTCCTTCCTGAATCTGACCACATGCCTGCACTGAGGTTCTGCCTGGAATGAGACTACCTGGTATCCTTATAACAAATGACTCCATTTCTAAACCTAGTTCCAGTGGGTTTCTGATACGAGAACCCAAGGGTTTTAACCAACACACCCAGACCCCAGGGAGTTCCCTCCTGCACTCCAACATCCCCTACATGTCCCCTCCCTCCAGGTTCTCAGGAGCCCTGTACTCCACCTCAACATCCCCTCCAAAGGCACACAGGCCTGTGGCCTTCTCCCCACTGGTGCAAGCCACACATTCCCTGATTGAAGTCCTCCCAGGTCGGGAGGCCGTTTCTTTGGCTTGATCCCTTCACTGAACAAGGCGCCTGCACGTGGCCCAACAACCAGCAATTTCTGATTGCACCCTCTTTTCAAAGGGCGCTTAATTTGCCTGAGGGAGTTTCTCTTGCTTACCCAGGGAATGTGTTCCATTCTGATAACTGACATCTGCTGGAATGTTCTGCCAGCCTGGCCCTGGGCTGTACACTTGATATACAATTTCTATCAAGAGGCAATGAGAAGGGGCTGCAGAGGGGTAGGCCCTTTCCTCAATGGCGCCTACTCAGCTCTGCCAGCAGTGCAGCCTTTGGTTCTTTCACTGCAGTGATTTGCAAGAGAAGCGAGTTTCTTTACAGTATTTACAGCAGTTCAGTGCCAGAGGTGCAGAATGACAGTGTGACATCAAGCTGTAGGGCTCTCAAAGGAGGGCTCTCTTTTTTGGCATCTTCCTGTTCATCGTAGGCTATCTGCCTCTTGAGAAAAAAAATACACCCCCTCACCACCAATTTGGGACCAGAAAAGTTGGGTTGTAAGGATTGGAGGATGCAGAAAAATGAATTTCCAATTATAACAGCAAACTGGAAGGATCTTCCGAGGTGTGACCTAGGCAGCATCATCACCATCATCACCATCATCACCATTTGGCCTCATCAGTGTGCTTCACCTTGTGCAAACTTGAGCTCATCCTTAGGAGCCCTCAATGTACAGCTAATAAAGCAACACACTAAAGAGATTTAGTAGGTCAGCTAATTAATTTCAAGTAAAGACAAACCTGAGCAATTGAATTTAAGAAACAAATGCCAGGTTTTAAAAAACAACAAGACACACTAGTAGATTGCAAATGTCAAGAACTTGAACCTAGATTATTTTTTAACCCAGGAGGAACTGTTGTTTGCTTTCCTGGTCCTGCACTGTACAGTGTGGACACGGCCAGTCTTCACAGACACACCTGAGAATCTGAATGACGGCGTCTGAGAACTCTTTAGGGTGTCTTCAGATTTTGCCACTCACCTTGGAAAGGTCCACCAGGGTGTTGGCTTGGTCGCTCAGCTTCCTCTGCTCCATCTTGACACTCCTCAGTCTGTGGGAAAGAAGTATAACAGCCACGCTCTTCCAGTGCATGTTAAGGTCTAGCCCATGAGCAGATTCCACATCCGCATCAATTCATCTGATTTTGGAACCCAGCATGGGGACTTCAAACATGGGTGACAAGTGACCAGAATCAAGGGCTTGTCAGGTCCCCCAGAAAGCAAACTCTTGTCTCCATGCATGCTTGCCTTCAGTCACTTTAGTTTCATCTCTACTCTCAGATCATCCCTTGCTTCTATGCATTCGTCTAGGCTGTGCCTTCCACCCTGAAGGCCCTACTCGCAGCATTTCAGGATTTCCCAAAACCTCCAGGTCAGAATAAATGTTTTCATTCTCTGCTTTTCCACTCTACTTTTTTAATACCTCTTTTAGAGAAAATGCTGACCACAATTTGTTCTGCTTTGAGTTGTAACGTGGGGTGTGTGTGTGTGTGTGTAAACTGTGAGAGCCCTTAGAGACCCTTACTCTAATTTTTACCTTCCAGACCAGCCTGCCCAATGCCTGGCAGTGGCAGGTACAATAAATGAGTCAACAGATTTATCTGGGTCCAGTTCACTGCCCCCAGTGCTTGTTGAGTGGAACATCGATGTCCTCTGGGCCTCTAGGTAGAGGAGAAGATACTGATGGAGCCGTGAGGGTCCCACCACTCCTAATGTGGTCATCTGGTCACTGAGCTGCCTAGATACTCACTGGTGGATAGCTTGGAGGAACTTCCTCTGGTGTTTCCTGACTTTGGCATGGTCAATCTTCTTTAGCAGCTTCGTGTGTTTATAGATTAGCCACGTTTCCCGAAGGACGTTGGCTGCAGCATTCTTGATCTAAGGAAAAATAAATAAACCCGATTACTATCAGGTTAATTTTCCTAGGTTCATATAATATGTTTTCATATTTGCTGATATAGTCTGTCTTATAAGGAAACGATTCTGCAATGATCTATTTCCTTAATCAAATCACGAACTCTCAGAAATGACGATTAAAATTCATCTCTTATTAATCTGTATTGGACGCAGTACACTGGAGCCTGAAGTTGAGGGGTGTTTCTTGTTTCTTAATTATTTCAGGACTGCCTCTCGACTGCTGTTGCTGATGCTATATTTAGATAGGCTGCATTCCCAAGACCTGGAGGCCTGTGGCACCCTTTGAATAGATAAATATATACCATTGCTGCCCTTGTGTGCAGAGTTCTCTGCTCTACCTGAGGCTTCCATTTAGTGCACATGGTACATTTCTTGGATTCAGAGAGTAAACAGATTTCCTATCAGCTGGAGATTTTAAAAGGCCGCTCTGAGGACATGTCTTTCCCACCGAACGGAACTATAGGTATCAACAAGTCCATTGTTTCCTTTCCCAAATGGCCAAAAACATTTACACTGCAATTTTACATGTAAATGTAATCGGCATAAAACTGAAATAATTTCAATGCAGTGTCTGAAAATCAGAGAAGATATCTAGGTGTGAAACCAGAGCCGCCTCTTTCCCAAGGCTGGCTCCTTCGCTGTGTGCTGCAATCACACGTTTCAACATATGACGCTGTCATCTGTTGACATGGAAACCACTGATATCACCCGGCTCACGACTGAGCTGAGACATATCAATGGCATCCAGATGGCAGGGGACAAAGTTTTAATCCAAACACAGACATCTTCAGCAATTAGGAACAAGAGCAAGAGGAAACATTTCTTATTAAGCACAAGCTAAACAGAGTTTTGATGAACCGTTCCTATTTCTGTCAGCCATGCAAATTGGCACAGGCCCACAGGCCCAGGGCCTGGAAGCAAGTTGGCTGGTCTAGTAGAAATCAGGTTACTAGCCAGAAATGATTTTAATAAAACTGGAGAGTACAGGCCTGCTTCTTCAGACTGACATCAACAGATGGGACGTTGTTAAAATGCTGAGACATGTGGGAAGGCCTAGGAAACATTGTTTTGCAGGCTGATAACGTGTGTGTGTGTATGTTTTAAAAATTTATTACTAAGGCTGGATTGTATTTTTCATTGGCGCTGAAGTGATGTTTTTAAAAGAACAGCTAGGTCTTCTCAGAAATGTCTAAGTGACATAAATATTGCTTTTTTGTTCAGTAAAAATCCACTGTGAAAATGGTTTTAAACGACTTAATTGCCCACCTCTGGTACTTTCTTGCCTGAAAGGAAGCAGGTGGTGGTGAGCAGAAGCTGGAAATGATGAGTGTCCAGGTGAGGAGGGGGCAGGTGGAGGAGGGGGTGGTCTCTGGGGTTCTGTCCAGGGGCTGGTGTGGACAGCGGTGTCCTGGTAAAAGAGGCAGCTCAGAAGGGATGCCTTGCCCTCTGCGGGGTGCGTACTACTGCCGCCTTTTGTAGAGAGAGGGCAATTTGACGCGTGATTTCTTCACTTTCCCTGGGTGCTTGGCCTCCAAGGAAAGCCTCACAGAAACACAGGAGGGAAAACCCTGCTCTGGCATTTAGGATGATCAGCAGAGCCCCAGTTACATGAGCCTCTTCTTTGGAATAATGATAGAGCCACAGAATGTCAACTCCGATGGGCCTTTGACAATTGTCTCTGTGTTGATGTGGAACAAGCATTTGAAATTGGAAAGCCTGCAGGTAAATACTTGTTCTGCCAATTATTAAGCAGTTTAGGAGTAAATGCTTAATTATCTATAAGATGGGAAAAATAAATCCTTGCTTTAGGGTTGTTATGAGGCCCAAAGGAGGCAATGATGGTGGTGCTGATGGTGCTGAGGCTAACAGCTAACATTTACCAGATGCCAGGCTCCGGTCTGAGTACTTCATGTCTACAACCTCAGTCAATCCTCACAACAACCCTACCAGGCAGGTACTAACGTTATCCCCATTTTACAGACGGAGAAATGGAAACACAGACCAAGACCATAAAGTTACAAATGGTGAACTGAATCAATGTGGATTTTAGTGTTATATAAACTGTAAAGTACCATACAGACTTAGTTATTATCATCTAGGGCAAACCCCCATTTAAAATATGAGGAAACAGCTTCAGAGATAGAATGTGAGGGCCAGAATCACACAGCTAGCTAATGGCAAAGTCAAAACAAGAGCCAGGTCCAAGAAGAGCATAAGGTTTTCATACAGTCTGAAGAAAGACTTGACCAGGTTTCATCTCTATACAAACAAAATTATTTCCTGTTTTCCAGGATCAAGGAATTGGAAAGGACATTAGAATTATTTTTTTAATCATCATGGCCCTCACTTAGCAATATGGCAGAACAGGGAGTTCAGGGTCTGCACTCCACTGCAGCCCAAATGTCAGGTACTGAAACCACAGCTCAGCCGGGTAGTTGAGAGAGGCAGTCACATCACCTTTATGGGTCTGAACAGGAGGCCCCTGCGAATTCCGAAAAGGGATGTTAAACGCAAGCCTTGGTGCTGACTCTGAAATTAATTGCCAGCAAACAGCCTGGCACAAAGCTAAGTAGATCAATATCTGCAAGAGAAAAAGAAATAGGCTTTTAACTGCACTATGCTTTCCCAGGTCGACAGTAAATGCTCTTGTGACCAGGGTCTTCCTCCAATTCACCTGGCTGATTGCTTTGAGCATCACTGGAGTGGAAGCAGCTGAGGTCATGTGCTCCTCCTGGGATTGCTGAGCCCCTGATGAGGGCTTGGGGACCCTCTGAGCTCTTCTGGTGGGCAGGGGCACCAGGGCCGCAAGTTGCTCCTGGGGTTGGGGGTGTAGGTGGAGTGGAAAGGACTGGGAAGGACCGAGCAAGCTTGGCCACGATCAGATGGGTTCAGGGATGGTTAGAAGAGGATTGGCTGTGTGTGCATGGAAGGCTGGCTGTTTCGTTCTCCAAACCCAAAAGCATACAAGCTGATTGTTTTCTGTGGGTCCATACATTCCCTACCAAAAAATTGTATGCTTTCACTCTGCTGGGGGTCAGAGAGTGGGCTCAGTGACCTACATAGTTTAGGAAAGGCTCCAAGATTAATGGTAGATTACACGGTAGCTTTATTGATATTCTCCCCCTAATAAATGTTAGCTTCTCCCCTGGCCCCAAACAAAACAAAACATTAAACAGAACGCATATGTCTGTTCCTGGAGCTCTTGGCCATGTCATCCACGTCAATGGCTTGCTCTGGCCACCTCTCTGCCATGGTAACCTGCCACTCGGTATTACAGAGGGGCTGTTAGTTGCAGGAGGAACGCTTGGGACAGAATGAGAGAGGCCCCCCTCTTGGGGACCCCATGCCTCCAGAAGCCACAGGGAGCCCTGGGAGCATAATTCCAGAAGCCCCACTGGTGGACCCTCCAGGGAAGAAATTATTAGCATACCCATTATGCTGCCAGAATCCTTCCTAGGGAAAGGGAGTTCTACCTGAAGGTTGGAGAGGGGGAAGGAAGGAAGGGAGGAAGGCAGATCAGGCCTGGCAGGTGGGTGTGACTTAAATAACTCCAAAGAGTTCCACAGGTTGAATCTAGATTAACTGAAGGCTGATGAACATCAGAATCGGAGAACCTACAGGCCAGCCCTGTCTTCAGACATTTGACTGAAGGTGTCCATTATACACAGGACTGGGGAAGAGAGCCATCCTCTCTTCCCTATCTGGCAACCCCACTCTTCCCTCACCCTCACCCCCACAGACTTCCTGCTGGCTTCCTGCGGTTGCCATCTCTTTCATCTCTCTGGTTACACACTCTCTCCTTCCTTCCCCCATCCTGTTCCACACTCCCTTCTCAGGCTTCTCTGCCTGCCTCACGGGTAGCCCTCCCCGAACACTTAGAACTGGGGGCTCCACCCCTGTGGCTGGTGGAAAGTTGGGGCAGGGAGCAAAGAGGGATGTACTTCTGTGGTTCAAAGTTGGAGTTTGAAACTCCGTTCCCAGAGCAACACAGTAATGAATGGTGATTAATTCCATAATGCTATCAGTTTGATGCTCAGCTAGTTTGGAGGTAAACTGGCTTTTCTCTCCAGCAGGCCCGGGACCCTAACCATCATGCTGAGTTCCAAGGAACTGACTGCTCTGGAAAAGCCACTGGTTTATGGCTGGAGAGCTGCCTGCTGGCCTGAGAACAAACTACATACAGCCTTGGTTAGGACCCAGCTAGCTGCATATAGCTGGGAGCCCACCCTCGCCCATCTCTGGGCCTGAGACTCAAGCTCATCCCTAAGAATCCTTCCAGCTCAAAACCTCAATGTATCTACGACTATTGTTAAAGTAAAAATGCAGCCAACCTGTCTAGGACAGAACCTTTGTGGGTAATATAATTTACAATCCCCTTCTGGGGAGAATTAGCATTCCTGATAACTGCTCAATTGTTTATATGATAAATTTTAAAGACATTAAGACTTGTTCTGGGAATCTACTCGTGGGCCCCATCAACTGTCAGTCAGGAGTCCATTGTCCTTTAGCCAGACCTTCTGTACCTCCTATAATGACTCCCATTGTCTTTTCCTATAATACCGCTACTATGAGTAAATCTTTGAATTAGCCTGATGAAAAAAAAAGTTTTTGCCAGTGGGATTGTGATAAAGCATTGACATAGTCTCATAATTAAAGAAAAGTTTTCTTTAGCACTGTTCAATAGGTGCTGGGAGGTTACTGAAGTTTTTTGAGCAGGGCGGTGATATGTTCAGAGCTAAGTCTTAGAGTCTAAGGAGATCGACCAGGAAGCAAAATGCAGGATGTCTGGGGTAAGCGAGGCCCATGAGGATAGAAGGTAGCAAGCAGCTGAGATGGTGGCTTTAAGTATTGTGGGGCAGAGGTGCTGGAGAGGCCGGCGTGGCAAGGTCGAGTCAGTCTCAGAAACTGTTCAGACTCTTGCGGGGTCCAGGGCAGAAGGGAGTCAGAGATGGTGCTAAGCTTTCAGGCCTGGAGACTGGAAGAACAGCAATGCCATTAGCTGAGCAGGGAAGTCAGGAGAAAGAACTAGCGTAGGGAAGAGATGGGTTTGGTTCTGGTCTCACTCATTGATTTCACAGGGAAATGTGCTTGGGTGAAGAATGGGGCAAGAACCCCTCGTGGTAAGGACAAGGAGACACAGTCCTCAGCCAGTGGGCACACGCTGTGGTGCTGTCTGAAGGTCTGAGGTGGAAAGCAGGTGTGGCAAAGAGAACATCTCCTGTCCATGGTGCCTTGTAGGCCAAGTGTGTCCACGGGCAGCCTACTTTGCCTTTTAGAAAGGAGAGGTGCTCTTTGAGGGCAGGCAGTAAGTATGAGGGCAGGGACCACCTCTTAGCCATCTTGGTGTCCCCAGAGCACACAGTGTGGTGACCAGTGGGTGACCCCTGTGATGGGTATGTTTGGTTACATAAAACAGAGATGGGGACATGTAGGGTTGAGTGAGAGAAAAGATAGAGATCTAGTATCCTTTTTACAGTCTCTCTGTGTGTCATTTACATATATATTGTCTAGTAGCCCAGAGGTTAGCAATAGATTATAATTATAGAATAACAATAGCAGTAACACTGCAAAGTCAGCGTGGGAAGATCTGATTGCATTAAATACAGAAATGATGTTGCCACGGTTGACAAGTTATACAAGTGAAAGAAGAAAAGCCATGGGATTCAGGAAAACCAGAAACTGAGTACTTACCTCGTGCTATCAGACCACCCGCCCTCCCCATAAATAAATAAATAAATAAATTAGAGTGACTCTAATGGGAAAGGCTGGGCTGAAGCCTTTACAGCAAGACAGGCAGGATGAATAAACACTAGAACAATTTGAGTATTTTTATGATTAACAGGTTACAATTTCTCTCTCTCTCTCTTTTTTTTTCCTGCTTAGGTGTTTGAAGAATTGAGATTGCATGTACTTGTAAGAGATGGCTTTTATCTGTTAAATCTACTAATTGTGCACTCCTGAGAGGTTTGCAATTACGCCACCATTGGCGCCTCCTACGATTGGATCTGTCTCTGACAATTCATCAAGATCTTATGAATAGACTGAGCTTAGCATCTCTTTGACCCATGAGCCACTCCAGCTGGACACGCTGGGCGCTTTGGAGAGGACGGAGGATAGACGAGTCATCCCCAGAGGAAGAAAGGTGGGCTTCTCTGAGAGCAGGTCAAGGTGAGCTGAAGCCAGAGCAGGCCACACTGGCAGCCAGCTTCCTTTCCATGAAGGTTATGTGAAAGACCCTTTGGAAGTCCCAGTCCTGCTGCTTTGAAAATCCTCTGTCTGTAAGAACCATCCTTTTGTGTTTGTTTCTCTGGGAAAAGATATTAGACATTAAAGGGACATTTCAACAGATTTAAGTGTTCTTAGAAAAGTGAGATGTTATTCGATTAAAAAGGTGCTGTGCACTCATGGATGAGCAATAAATATTTGTTGATTTGATTTTCAGTCCTAGTTTTCAAAAAGTAAGTGGACTTGAGGAGGATTTTAGAGAATCATTTTTGAAAGATTGAAATTAGCAACCACAATCTCATCTGTTTCTACAATTATATTGCAGAAAAAATTGTTTATTTTCCTGTTGTATGAGGGAGCTGGCTTTTCTCAGCTTTATTTTCCTCTAGTATCTGATTTACGGAGTAAAAAATGAAGAGGACAAAAGAATAACATGAAATACAAAGTATATCTTCGGTTTTAAAAAGTAAAGCAGAATCAACAGAGAGACTGTTAATGTCTCTGCTCTAAGGAAACAGCTTCTGAGAAGGTTTTCATGGCAAAACTCTCTTGCCCCTCATTCCTGCACTGTTGTTTCAGGAGAACAGATGCAAGTATATTTGCGTTTAGGTTCCAATACCTTTTGTAATTTGCTCAATACCGAGCATGACTTCTGCATGGGTATCAGGGGGCTGAAGGAGAGCAGCTGGGTTACAAGGTTCTGAGTGAAACCTGGCTGGCCCATCCATGGGTACAGCCCTCAATCCTGCCGCCTTGATGCTGCAAATCGTGTTTTCTTTTATGCAACTGACAGCTCAGGGCCACGATGTGCTGAATACAACCATCTGTATGCCAACAACATAAGACTATTTGCCTGTACCTGCTCCTTTTAACATCTGTGGAGGCTCTTCAACAATCCAATACATGTAATCAAAGATCAGACAATCCAACACCATAAATAATTCTGCTGAGAAACTGGAGAGGCCTTGGCAACTGCACATTCTCCCACTGCCTTCCCTAGGAGCTCGCTTGCGCTCTGTCATTCTCCCTCTCTCTTCTTGTTCTCCCTTCCTGCCTTTGTCGCTATTTCTAACACATTTTTACTGCGCTGCAACATTAATCACCGAATATTTTCTCTAGCTTTCAAAAAGCCAAATCAAAATTTGGTTGCTCAAGGATCTCTTAACCCACTTCAGCCCTAAATGAGAAAGACTTGCTATGGCAGCCAAGACCCCAGCACAGGGTTTTGATTCTCTCTCATCTCAGAAAGAGGAGAGGTTTGCAGGAAATCATATCACTGACCTTCGTTCAGCCTGCAGCTCTAAAGAATTTTCCATAAAAGCTGTCATTAAATAAACAGCTCCTGCCTTGCTCATTTGGCCTGCTGTTATCCTGGAAGGCTCATTTCTGTGTCTTCTAAATGGGCCTTTTCTTCTCTGACAATTCAGTCGGGTGTCCGACTTGTAGCAGCTGAACGATCTCCCCCTTCCTGCATATTTTCAGTTTTTCATCCTCCTTAACCACTTTCATGAGGGTTCAAGTGAGAAACATTATCCGGAAAACCCAAAAGGGGAAAATCGGATGATGACATTTTGATGAAGATTATGTAGGAATGTGGGCTCTACTGCAATGATCGTCTTTAATGATTTTTTTTCAAGGACTAGATTTAGATACATTTCCAGTATTGTTTGTAAGACTCTCTATTACCCTTCCTAATGAGAATCGTGAAAATATTCGAGCATAAACAAAAATGTTGCATCATGCTGGGTGATTTCTTCGGTACCATTAGCTGAGCGGGCAGGTTACACCATTGTAAGCTATAGATTTAATTATCAGGAGAATTGGTTGCCTGAACCATGCACAGTGATTTAAGAGAAGACAGGCTCCTGGACTATTGAGACATCATGCCCATTTTGTGGAGGCTCTTTGCGGGTATCTGGGGCTCCCTCAACCCCCCAGTGAAAGGTGTAGTTTTGACCTATATCACGTGACCACTTTCTTTCTGAATGGCTTCCACGTTGGTCTTAAGTCCCCCGTTCAGATGTGGCTGGCAGTGTTTTACCCGTTTGGTGAGCTGAGTGTCCATCATGAAGTTGTGAACGTGCTTTTCCGCTTTGGTGAGTTCCAGCTTTCGGGCCACCACGGCCACCACCAGGGCAGTGCAGCCCGCACCCTGTGGGGGGACAGCAGAGGACCAGGGGGAGAGAGCACATCATTAAGGGGCAAGGTTCAGGCAGAAGACCCAATATGCCCTGTGCCCACTGCGGGGTTTTGGGGAGTGGAGTGGGAACCTGAGCTCTCTGGCTGGTCAAGGCCAAGCCACAAAGCCTGTCGGGGCCCTGATTCCCGCCCCCAGGAAGGAGTCTGCAACGCACTTGGCTTGTGCTGCAGAGCTGATCTCTGGGAGATGGAGTCTTCCTAGAACTAGCCAGTTCTTAGTGGAGCAGGATCCAGGATGGGGCTGAGGCTTTGGGGAATTTAAAACAATGGACAATCACCTGGTCACCTGCCAGGCTGTGCAGGGAAGACAGAGGGCCCAGCACCCACAGGCCCTCTCTCTCTCATGCATATCCCAACCCCACTGCCAGCTCCAGACCAGGGACCAGGAGGAAAGAAGGCCATGCATAAACTGGAGTACGGATGGAACACCTGCTGGGGGTGGAGAGTTTTCCTGAAAATAATCTAATGAAGAGGCAATACATTTTCCCCCAAGATTGCTTCCCAGGAGAACACTGGTTGGCATGAGTATGTGTACTCAATGACTGTGCTTGCTCCTCAGTTGGGTCTTTTTACCTGAAAGCCTAGGCTATGACTCAGCACAAGGAATCCATTCTTTCTTGCTTTCACCAGGAGGCTCATGAATTCACCCTCATGCAGATTTTAAAGACAACAACAACCCTCCTGCCTCAAACCAGGATCTTAAGGGAACCTGCAGAAGGCCCTCAGTATTTTCCAGAGCAGTGTTCTTATTCTGCTCAGGTAGGTCCATTCCGGGGGAGCAAAGGGGAGGGTGAGTAAAAGAAGCAGGGTTTTGCAGGACTGATTTTCTATCTCCTAATCCTCTGGGCACATGCTTGAGTGTCTGGGAAATGAGCAGAAAGTGGCACATTCCAACATTCTCCTGATGGATTTTTAAGTCCTCTTCACTGTGCTTCTCAACTGGGCTGTGAGCACTGGAGGAAGTGAGAGAATCACTCCTCCCCTGATTCTTCTGCAGGCAGCAGAAGTCAGCCCTGCCCTTGCCTGGTTTTTCAAAGAGAGCGCACGCTCGTCAGCGGCCATCGCCCTCTTCCTGCACACTGGGCCCTGGACTGCCCTGAGCTCCACTCATGGAAAGAGAAGATAAGCTCAGTGGAGTCACAGTCTGATCCTCTAGATGCCAATCAGTAATTCTAGTTGCCACAGAGCCCACGTTAGCAGTTGAGGTCCCAGGATTGAAGGAATTGATCAATAACATTTTTGGCTCACCAGGTCTAATAAAATGTGTCAGAAACAGAAAAGAATGTTTTTCAAAGGTACTGTAATCTGTAACAGAGTTGGGAGAAATGCATATGGGTAATTCAGTCCTCTACTGCCTCCTTTATAATCTCGTTCTTTCTTTTTCCATAGGTTGGCAAAAGTGAACTTGTGCAAGGTTTTGGTGTGGCTAAAGTGGGCAACACTTTCTCCTAGCTTTTCACAAGGGTTCTCATTAAAACAATCTCGTGTTTCTTGGTACATATAGTCATTTGGTCAGCCAACCCATTTCTAGCACAACAAAGTGAAAAGAACTGAGTCTGTGTGGACTTTCCTTTTCTGGCCTCATTTTCCTCTTTTGTTCGGGGACGGCCGTGTTTTCTTGGCATCTGTGATTTGCAGGAGACTCTGTGCCCAATTTTCAAAGGATATGTATGGGCAGTTGGACAGCCTGGTCTATAGCTGTAATCAATTTAGCCAGGCCTCCAAAAGCAAAAAATAGCTTAAAAGAAGCTGTCCTACAGGGAAGATGTGTGCTCCATTTCCCCTCAACCAGACCGAGTATAATCCCTCTCCTTTATATGGAGTTCCAAAAGTACTTTGGGTGAAAGCCCAAAAAGAAGGATATATCATAGTGTTAAAAATGGAACATCAGATGGAGAAGGTTCTCCCCAGGCTCCATCCTCCCTCATCTCCCTGGGTCCAGGAAAATGCTACTTAAATCACCCGTGAAAGCTGGGGGCAGCATAAGCCTGAAGAGGGAGTCTCCCTGCTCACCACGCCACTTTGGGAATTTCATCAAAACAACCACTCAGTCACCATCCCAAATTTCCAGGGTTTAGACGGAGTGTACCATGTTCTTGCCACAACTCATAATCTAGCCACTTGAATGAAAGGGGCTTCTAATTAGAAGCTAGTGTTTTAACGAAGGAACCATCTATCTTACATGACTAAGATGAATTTCTGCATGGAGGCAAGAGGGTGGACTAGTGATGTTTCCCAGTATCTTTCAACTTAAAGATGTCAAGACTCCTTTGTGAATATCTCTCTGGAAGATGCTGGGTTCTTAACCCCTAATTCTAACTTGAATAGGTAGCAGTGGATACTCTCAACTTTATTTTTCTTTTAGAAAATCCACTGACTGGATGTAATTAGAGAAGTTGCCAATAATGAAGCCTAACTTGGTCATTTCCATTAAGAGGCAACCTTGTAAAGATGGGGTCAGACATCAGCAAGCTTCAGAAAGTGGTGGGCAGGGTGCTGACATCCAGGCTGCTGGTCCTCTCCAGAGTGTGTGTGTGTGTGTGTGTGTGTGTGTGTGTGTGTGAGAGAGAGAGAGAGACAAGAAGAAGGAAGAGTGAAGAAGGAAGGGAAGGGAAGAGAAGAGAAGAGAGGGGATGCAGAGAGAGAAGGAGCTGGAGCAGAGACTGAGACGGGGAACAAGCTATGCTGCCTCCTGAACAGCATGGGACAGAATAGGGAAAGAGCCAAGGAAGAAGCTGAGGAATAAGAAAAAAGGATGAGCTGATGGGATTGTGAGAGGAAGGCAGGAAGAACAAGGAGCCTGAGACTTGAGTCAGAAGTTAATGGTCAATTTTGGCTCGTGAGAGGAAACAAAGGAAGTATTATGGGATCCTCCTCCTTCCCGCTGTGTTCACCTTTAAGTGGTATAATGATAACTAATGTTCCTTTGGAGACAATGGCCTTTATACTTAGCTGAGCTTATCAGTCTGATGGGGCCATGTTAGCAGCCGGGAAGGCTTGTGTGATGTGGCAGTGATGCGGTTTGGTTTTAAGAGACAAATTGCCAAGGACCTGACTGATTTGGGCGTGTGAGAGCTCATGCTGTCCTAGCGTGGAATCTCAGAAATGGCTGGTGGGCAGAGGGGGCATGTGAGGAGAGGATGGAGTGGGACAGAAAAGGGTAAGCAGCTGCTGGTATGACTTCCATGGGGTCAGATCGTGGGGCAAATCCATGACTCAGACGTTTGCCTTCACAGATGCCAAGTCCTGAATCACAGTTGACACCAACTGGATTCCCTGGGTCTTCTCTGTCCAACTCCTATTTCCATGGGAGGATGGTGGGTGGGGACAGGGTCCACCTCTAATGGGGTCATACTTTCCAAGGTACATGGTGAGCAGGAGCGCAGGAGTGAGCAGGGAAAGGGGTGGCTGGGATGGGGCGAACATGCCTAAGTCATCTATAGATCTGGACCCAGAGACCTAGTCTCCTCCGCACCGGCCCTCCCACTTCTTGTTTCCAAGAAACATTTTCCAGCTGGAAAACCTTAGAATCTGGAAAAACAAGTATCCCGAGGGGAAAAGTATGAGGTGTTCTTAACTAAAGAAGCATAAAATAAAATAAAACATAAATGAAAGTGACAAATGGAGGAGGGAAGCCTGGAGGATTTACAGTTGGACTCTGTGTCTGCAACAGATTCCATGTAACAACTAAAATAACATCAATTGGTTTAAAACCAAGGTGTTTCAGGGAGAAGCTCATCTTCTAAAACTGACATTAAGCAGATGTCTTGCTGAGCCCTCTTTTTCCCTCCTCCCTAAATGACTCAATTTGTGCTACCTTTCACTTCATCATCGTTCTCTTTCTGCAGTTCAAAGCAGCATCTCTCACGAGATCTTGGAGAAAAGCTCAGTGTCCCCAACCAACCAAAAGGCCTTCAAAAGCACATCTTTAAGTTTCGTTGTCATTTCCCATTCTGGATACTAAATATTGACAGCCTTCTCTCTGCATTGTAACTGTCATCATCAAATTCTCTTGGAAAGACACCGGACTTTGATGTATCTGCTTTTGTGGGTGAAATCTCTCAAACACCCCAGGTCTGTGCCAACAATTTCAAGTTGTTCAGACAATTATATACCCTGCTTAATGGTTGATAATTACACTGTTACTGGGATTGCCAAGAGAAAACAATGATTAAGACTATTTACAGCCGCACACACAAATCCTTCCTTTCCCTTCCCGAGCAGGCCTTGCCTTGGCCTGCATGGTGTCCATGGTAACCAAACAGGAAGCCCTACCTTTAGTTAAGGCGCTTGCAATAATAATCAGGAGATGCACACAGTGCCGGGAGGCTGGGGGAGGGGAGGAAGGGATTCTCAGCAATGTGAACCCTTGAAAGGAGTGACTCAGCGAGAAAAGTCACATTTGTTAGAATAATGCCTCCAGGGTTCCTCACTGTGGCTGACCCCAGAGTGAGGCAACTGACTTTAATTTGGGTAAAAACACTGACAATGAACAGAGGAAACCTCCCAGTTCCTGCGTACGGAGAGGTATATATTTATGCAGCAGGGTTTTGTGCAAAAGGAGAAGATGAAAGGCATGTGCTGTATTTTTAATGTGGGAGGTGGGTCTCGGTTCCTCCTCATTCGTTTGTTCTTTCCACTTTGATCACACCTCTGTCCACAAGAAACAAAACACTCCCTTCCAAGGAGCTGCTGTAGACCCAGGAGCAAAGAGGGAGCTGGAGACCACACCCCAGGGGAAGACAGCAAGGGGGCTGAGGGGCCCTGCCTGCCCCACTTGGCTTTGCAGAGTAGAAGCCAGGAGACTGGAAGGAAGGCCCCAGGGAATTGGTGGCTATGGGCCGGTGGCGGATGGGCACAGCCCCGTGCTGAGAGGGAGAATGGCTGGTATTTAAAAATAACAGAGGCTCCCAGCAGGGCCCATCTACCTATTGGCAGCCGGGCTCTATGCTGGTTCTGAGGCACAAAGCCCACGCCCCGGGAGCGGCTGGAAGACAGGAAAGCTTTGGCCTTCGGGCGGCATTTCATTTCTTTCTGGAAGGAAGAATCGTTCCCTGGTTTCCTGGTGACAGCTGGAGCTGTGCCAGACAGACTCCTACTAACCCAGGGGAGGTGTTTGTTCTAAGGCCGTACACTTACCCATGATTTATCCCCACCCTGGCGCTAAGCCTTTTGTCATTAACTGCTGTTTCAGGCCCTGCCTGCTAATGTGCACCTGCGCAGGATTGTAGTCGCAAAGGGGAGAGGACTGTGTCTGGTCGTGAAATGGCAGCACGGGGCCCCTCCTGCTCAGCGGGCCCACTGCCTGAGGCCTCTGACCATGGGGCCTCCTCTGCTCTGAGTGGCCCATGTCTGGCTACCTTGTCACCGAGATCAGTCCAGGAGGCCACCAGGCTGTGGTGGGGCGGGAGTGGGGCAGCTCCCACCCCTGGTGAGGAGTTAACCCTCTTTCCACTGCAGAACAGACTCATTTCCCTTTCAGAAGGAGGGTCTTTTCTCCTTCCAAGAGAAGTGGGGGTGATGAATGAAAGCTGAGGGGGCCCTGAAAGGAAGAATATTCACAGGAGCATGATGGGGGTGCAAGGAGAGGTCCCCTGGGAGGGCTGTAGTGACCAACCATGGAGACCTGGAACCAAGCTGCAGCCATCCTGCCCACCTCACACCCCACCACCAACCCCAGCATTACCCAGGCTTACATGTATGCTGTCTTGTTTGAGCCTCAGTCTCCCCTTCTGAAAAGGGGACACTGTGTGTTCACTCTGTGTTCTAGGATCTAGGAAGGAGGTCAAAGACTAGTGGTTGCCTGTCCTGGACCTAAGGAGCAGCAAGGCCAACCGGCCAGTGAAGGAGCGGTGGAGGCTGGGATGCCGAGGACTCCGCCAGCACTGATGGGGTGTGCAGCTTCTCATTGCTAACAAAGCACATGAACATGAAGCATTGTGATTGGTCCTCATCAACAGCCAGTGAGGAGGGCAGGGCAGGCCTTCCACCTCCACCTTATTCTCAAGAATGCTGAGGTCCAACAGGCTAAGTGCCCTGCCCAGGGTCCACAGTGAGTGTCGGCAGTGGGAATTCAGACTCCGCTTCTGACTCCCAACCCACGTCCCTCCCATACACTACGCTACGATGACCATGATGGGCAAGAGAGTGTGTTGGGGTGGGGGTGGCAGAACGATGGGTGGGATGCAGCACAGCTGCTGGGCACCTGGGCAGAGACGGGGATGAAGTCACATCTAGCTGGGACAGCAGCGTTGGGAGGACCTGGCACTCAGAGGCCAGCACTTCAACATGCAGATGTGGATGCCGAAGTCTGGGGAAGGCAAGAGCTGGCCCAGGGCCACGTCGCCAAACCGGGACCCAAGCCCGTGGCCAATCCAGTCCAGGACACAGGTCTCCTGTGATCAGTGCAGTGCTCTTTCCCCAGTCCCTGCCTCTGTGAGTTCCAGTGACACTTTATCAGACGTGGTCCCAAGGTCTGTGGGGCCCAGGGGACAGGAAGGAAGACAGTTGAGTGCAAGCCCTGATGCTTACTGGGGGTGAGCAAACTGGGCAGTCAGGCAGTGGTGAGTGGGACTGGAGGGTCAGACCCACAGCCAGCTTCGCCCGGCCCATTTTTGGGGCGCTATGAAGAGACCATTAACTGTCAGGAACCAGGACCTTATTTCTACCTTAGAAAAGGAAAGTAAAAAGTGAGAAGCCATTGCAGATCTCACATCTGCCTTTCTCTGTGCAGGGACAGGCATGCTGGCCTGTTAACTAGCAGCTGGCCCCACTCCCTGACTAGGAAGGCCTCTGTGTGCTCGCAGTAAAGGGCGCTGCTCCTTGCAACATTCTGAGGGTAGGGAACGGTAACGGGCAGAGGCATACTCACCATGATGCCAGTGAGGAGACAGACACCTTTCCCACAGTATGTGTGGGGCACCATATCCCCATAACCAATGGAAAGGAATGTGATGGAGATAAGCCACATGGCACCCAGAAAGTTACTAGTTACGTCCTGCTGGTCATGGTACCTGCCAAGGGGAAGAGAGGAGTTAGTCAATGGAACTGCCATTCCCAGGAGTAAAGGCTGTGGGCAAACCTGGATGGAGGAGGAAATGCCATATTTTGCTGAGAAGGAGACAGCAGTGATGGTGGCATGCAGATCTCTGTAGGCGATTAAAGGGGCTTGACTCTGCCCACCCATGTCCTGCGCACAGCTCCCTGTCCCCACAACCCCCTACCACGAGCTTGGTCCCAGAGGTAAAGTATTTTGTCATGATTTGTACCATATTGTAGATGTCCTTTTGGTGTTGGTAAAATAGCTTTGCGTGAAATCATGCAGTAATAAAATTTAGATTCTCCCTTCCAAGCTGACAGTCTAAATGTATGTGGATGTGATTAATCTGAAATCACAAGCTCCTGAACAGGAAAAATGTCAAAAAAAAATCACCAAACACATTTAGCAATTTCCCGTGAGAAGGTTGATGGATCCCAAAGACTGGCACCTCCTGAGCGTCTGGAGGGAGGCTGCGGAGGCCGGGGCGCTCTTGGAGTGGTTCCCAGGGGAGGCTCCAGGTTCTGGTCTCTGCAGAGGGATGGCCTTCTCTTCTGAGCTGGATGGAGGCTCGTAACTGCCCCACCCTGGGAGGAACCAGCTGGAAACGAATTGCCACTGTTCCCTCTGCCCGATGCTCATTCCACCCCGTCCTTTTCCTCCCTCCCTCAACCCCAAACACCAAGGCCACTATGTGCCAGGCTCTGTGCCAAGTATTGAAATACAAAGGTGAGCGGGACACAGCCCCTACCCTCAGGGCTCTCAGCCCAGGGGAGGGGTCCGGCGAGAATGCAGACATTTGCAGAAGGGTTGATAAGTGGGTAGATAAGGCACCTCAGGGATGGGGCAGGGGGGTGGGGGGGCCATGACCTTGACCCAGACACAGGAGGGTTTTCTAGGGAGGCCAGGGGGAAGGGTGTTCCAGGCAGAGGGAACGCCCTTATGAAAGCCCTGGGCCTGACTTGAGTGCAGCACATGCTGCACCTGACGTGGCAGGGAAGGTGAGGGTGGGTCCCTTCTCAAAAAGTTCTCTAACAGGATCAGCCTGAATGACACACAAGGGACTCTGCATTTTATCCTGATAAAATCTCCCCGTCAGCCTCTGGGAGGCCACTGATGGGAAAGGTGAAATGGGGCCAGGGAGCCCAAACCATCCTGGTAGGATGCAGCAGAAAGCCATTTAGGAACCTTAATCCACAGAATTGAGTTACCAATGAGGCTTACATGAATTAACTCACACGACGTACTTGGGACGGGGTCTGGGACAAGGAGGCCCCCAGGAAGTATTAGCCACTATCATCAGTGCTCTCCACGCCCCCACAGGGTCTGGTGCCCAGTGGGCAATTGGCAATGCTGCTTTTCCTCCCCTTAACCCCCTAGGTCAGGTATGCAGGGAAGGCTGCAGACAGGTGCATCTGGAGATGGGTCTGCAAGGAGGCAGGAGCTCTGCTGGTCAGAAGGAGGTGGAGGGCACGTGAGTCGGGGAACACCAAGGGTGCAGTAGACGGAGACCATTTGTAGACTCTTACTGCATTTGTGGGAGTCACACAGCACAACCTGGCATTTTGTAGACAAACACTCTAATTCTCACAACATCCTGTAAAGTATTTTACAGGTAAGCCACTGGAAGCACAGAGACATTGAGTGACTTGCCCGAGAACACACAGGAAGTAACCCAACCAAAGCCCATGCTCCTTTCACTGGGTATCAGAGAGGCAAGAGCGACTGCTGTGTGTCATGGGCAATGGTGAGGGAGTTTTAGCAGAAGAGGGCACTTGGGGTCCAGTAGCAGGCAATGAGGTGGCTTCGGAGACCTGGGGTCTGATTTTGGAAGGCCTTGAATTCCAGGATAAGAGGTTTGGACTTGGTCTTAGAGGCCTTGGAAGGGATTCTAGGTTCTTGAGCAGAGAATGACAGATGACAAGGCCTGCTGGGAAGAGTAGTCTGCAGGTGGTAAGCAGGATGTTTTAAAAGATGGAACACTGAGGTGGGGTAGCCAGGTGGGAAGCAGGTGTGCAAAGACAGGAGGGAGGTGCAGGCGGCAGCCTTCATCGCCCACCCAAGCCTGGCCCTAGCAGATCCCAGGGAGCACATCATCGGTGGGCTGTCCAGCTCCAACTTCAGTCCTCTACCAGCAACCAGAGGGGGGTGGCATTAGCCTTTTCATAGCTGTCTGCACAAGGGCATGCATGCCTGGAACTCCAGGGGGACACTGGAAGAGCAGACATCCCCTCCCCAAAGCTCTGCTAATAAGATGCCTTACCTGCCCTCTCCTCCCTGCTTCACCCCAGCAGCAATGAGGGCACCCTAGCTGGCTGCTTCTTCCACTCAGCCTCATTTCCCCAGGGCTGCTCATCTGGCCACATTCGAGTAGCATAGGCTGGTGGTACCCATCTCTGATCCCCAAGATAGAGTGTGCCCTGCCCCTGCCCCAATGCACGAGCCTCCTCCCAGTTCTGACATGGTCTGGGATGGGCAGCTGCCCTCCCCACCCCATTCCCCACAGCCCTGGGGCTCTGCCGGGCCCTCAGGCTGACGCAGTCCCCTCCACTCCTGGCACTGCTGCTCTCCAGCTGGGAGGAATGGTGGCAGACTCTGGCTCTCAGGGCCTGTGCCGAGGTAGTGGTGGAGAAGCCTTCCCTGGAGGGGTGGACTTTGGAGTCTGTGAAGCAGCAAGACTCAGTGACAGATTGAGTGTGGGGGCATGGATGGGGGAACACTCAAAGACAGCTCCATGCCACAAGCCCGCAACATGTAAACAAACGTTAGAGAGTCAGAGCCGGGGTCATCAGTTCATCAGAAAACATTTCCCAAAAGAAGTCTTGAGTCAGGTATGAGGTTGAGTCGGTGGCTAGAGAAGAGGTGAGCCAGTGGTCTTGGGCTCAGCTAATCTGGCTTCAAGCCCCAGTTCCACCTTAAGTAGTTCCATGGCTGTGGGCAAGTGACTTAACCTCTCTGTGACCCAGTTTCCTTATCTGCTGATGGGAAGATTAAGGAAAATAATCCACCAGCAATCCTAGCACAGCACTCTGCCCCGAGGCAGCATGCAACCAGCAATGATCCTTGTTGAGAGGGAGCTGGTGTTATCAGCCTGAGAAACAATCTGTAGAAACATATAGGGGCGGGGATTACAGTGCAGTGGGGAGGGTCCCAACCAGGGGGTGATGAGACGTTCATGAAGATGTCTTGAAGTTGAGGCTAGAGAACTATTTGATACAGGGATGAAAGGAATCTGCTATAAATTCTTGAACAAAGAAAGGACATGAGACACTTGGTATCTGAGAATGATTCTTCTAGCAGCTACATGCAAGACTGATTAAAGAGGGCAGGCCCCAGACAGTGAGAACTGCTATAAAGTTTGCAGGTACCCAAGAAGAACCAATGGAGAGCCTTGAATGCCAAGCCATGGGGGTGTGGATTTAATTTGCAGCCTGTCTTCTGTGTACATTATTGGCTTGCTGTGCACAAGGGTCTCCACGGTCCTCCTTTCCTTGCAAACCTTGAGGCTTAAACTAGTGTTCCCCGGCTGCTCAGCTACCCTCAGGACCATGGACCATCTTGTTCAAATGTGGGTGGACTCCAAGGTAAATAAATTAGAGCTCAAAGTGGAATTAAGTATATACAGCAACAGGGAACCTGTCTCTCTTTTTTAAATTGATGCTTGATTTACTGCTTTATTTTTCTCTCAATTTCCTTTATGTTCTTAAGGGCTTCTTTTTTCATTCACCATGTACAATCCTATTGGTGCTAACTGTGGGTGCTGAGGAGAAGAGAAGCAGATCTTGAGGATGTCATTCATTCATTGTTTGTCAAACTTCACATCTCAAACTTCAGATCTCCCCTCTGGTGGGGGCTATAGAAGATGCCGAGATGAATCCAACATACACCCTACTCTCCTCCATGTCTTGGAGCATCGTCATGGAGATAAGACACGCATGCAACTCACCAAGCAGGAAGTGATGAGCAAGACAGCCAGGCTGGTGATTCAGGACTGTGGGAGTGGAGAGGAGGGAGAAACTGTTTTCAAACCTATTCACAATTTTACAGTGGTTTACACTGCTCACAAATTCACGTACTAATCGCATGTTATTTTTTGCAATAGAGACTTTTTGGAGAAAATAGTTCCATGTTTTTCTTTAAGGGCTAAGGAGGAAAAGGTGTAATTTTTTAAAGATAGATATTAAAAGTTATTAATTTATCATTAGGGTGTGGAGTATGGTATTTTTCACTTTTTAATATTATGAAATAAATGACAGATATGAAAGATTGTACGACTGGGTAAAGATGATGGATTAAATACACATGTTTACTTTTGCTCTCTCCTTAAATCCCTCCACAGCTAACAGTTTTAGTCCCCTGCTTTTAAAAATAAGCAGACAACCAGGAATCCCCAGACATCTGAGGAAAGTTTCTAACATTAAAGACACAAACCAAATCAGTCAATTAAACAAACAAAGTAAAATGACCCTGGATCAAATACAGATCATTCACAGGGAAGAACTCCTGAAAAAAATCCCATAATTAACATTGTAAGAGAGATAAAATAAGATATTGGACCCATGAGACAAGAATGGAATGCTATACCAAAGAAGTCTTTCAGAAGGGCTGGAGGATAAATTGAGGAAGTCTCCCAAAAGGCAGAAGACAGAGAGATGAAAATAAGAGAGAAAATATGAAAAAATTAGTGACTCAGTCTACCAATTCAAATAATAATAGTTTCAGAAAGAGAGAACTGGGAAAAAAGAAGGAGGAGGAGAAGGAGAGAAGTAATCATTAGAGAAATCATTTTAAAAATCTCCCAGAACTGAAGGACACGAGTTTCTAAATCAAGGGTCCACTGTCCCCAGCACAGTGGATGAAAATAGACTCACACCAAGGCACATTATTGTGAAATTTCAGAAGATCAGGGGGAAGGAGAAGATTCATCGGAGCTTCCAGAGAGAGAGAGAGAGAGACTCAGAAATCACAATGACTCTG